TTGACAATTAATAGAAAAACGAATGCGTATGATCAAACAACTTATTGGTCAACTATTTTCATCTCAATGTCATTTAACATCTCTTCGAATTGATTTAGGCCATTATCTTTTTGATGTTGATATTAATGAATGTTTAACATCAAATTCTTATGTCTCATCGAATTCTTTTGACTATCAACGTCAATCTTTTTGTTTGACTCTTTGTCGTTTATATATTCGAATTGAAAATTCATGGTTTTTTGAAAATCTTATTTCACATATACCTAATCTCGAACAAATGTCAGTACAATTTCATACTACATTAAAATTCGATTTATCATGGAGATCAAATGTTGAAATAATGAAACAATCAAATGAAAATTGGTTTAACAAAGTAATAATGAAATATATCATATTTTTTTGATTTGAAAAATATTTTTCTTTTTAATAATTTTGAATATATTCTTTTGTTTTTAGTTACCAAAGCTAAGATATTTTAGTTTAAAAACTTTTATTTATGATGATTCGGAATTTATTTATTTGAAATGGCTTCTCAATAATTTAAATTATGTTGAAAAACTTCAACTTCATCTTAAAAATGATCAACTCGATGAAAGAAAATCTCAAGAGATATGGAAATCATTGATTGATGCAAATTTCATTCGTCAAAATTGTTTACCTGATAGAATAAAGAATTTAAGTAATTTCGATTTCTATATTTGTTCACGACGTCAATTATCATTCAATGATATAGAAAAAATAACAAATTCATTTAAAAATCATTCTTTTTTTCTTGATCATCAATGGACAAATGTTAATTGTTTTTTTGATCCAATAATGTTATCTCAACATATTTTCTCTTCTTTTACAAATACATTTCGATTTTCTCATAATTTTATGTAAGATATTTTTCTTTATGAAAACTTGAAGAACTTTTTAATTCAATGAAATTCTTTTCTTTTAGTAAATATTCAAATATTTTCAATTGGCCACTTATTGGCGATATCTGGTTTAATTTACATCCATCACTTTATTTAATTCTTCAAGGAGTTAATCAATTAACTCCTAATCTTTCTTGTATCAAAGTATACACAAGTAAATTGTTTTTTCATTTCAATGTTTTTCTTCTTCATCACTGAATAAATAGATCAGTGAACAAATTTACATGTTCACTGTGCTTTAGAATAAATGGTTACTCAGTTTTTTTGTTTTGTTTTGATAGTTTACGCGTTATATTTTTATTAAAAGATTTGCTGTCTTATTTCAGACAATAAGAGTAAGTTTTAATTGAAAAACTATTGATCCATTCGTCTTTACACAACAGCAGAATTAGCAATCAGCATATATTCACTTTTTTTTTTCTTATTATGAAAATATTCAATTCCTGAATAATTTCTCATGTTTTTAGCATGATATTATAGCGAGTTAACAGATGAATTAATACATTTCAACCAACATATTCAAGTTGATTTAGTTAACGACTCAAGTGCAGAATGTGTTATACCATAAACACCAAGGGGAAAACGGCGGATTTTTTGGGATTTTAAATCCGGAAAAATCCAAAAATTGAAAAGCATTTCCCCCTGTGGATGACGTAGTTTCGACCTGAAACTCTTCCCATATATAGGTTTCATGCTCCATAGAAGATCCTAAAAGTTTCAACCCAAACAACTGTTTTCTTCTTAAAATATTGAATTTAAAAAAAAAAAACTCGATTTTCTGACCGTGCCGTGAAATGAGCATTTCTTGCGAATTCATTATCTTGAGAAGGAAACATCTGTTTGCGCTGAAAATTTTAGGGTATTCTAAGGATCATGAGATCTGCATATGGAAAAAAAATACAAATGAAAATTTCATCATTGATGGTTTGGATTTTTGAATTTTCAAAATCCCCAAATCCCAAATCCGCCGTTTCCCCCTTGATAAACACCAAAATTCATTCAGGAATTGAGTATTTTCGGAAGAAAAACAACGACAAAAGTCAAGGTTTTCAAAGTTGTGTAATGCTAAATTTAATCTTGCTGTTATCTAGAAGAGGAATGGTAGACTTCAACAGTCTTCATAAGACATATCAAGGATTGTATAGACTTCAAAAGATTTGCTGAACTCCATAGGACTTCACGAGTGAAGTATTTGTTCTTTCTCCTTCTGGTGTCTAAAGATGAATGGTTAAGAAGTTTTCGAGTAAAACTTACTTTTTTATGCGGAATTATACAGCAAATCTTTTGATAAAAAACTAAAGCGTAGACTATCAAAAAAAAAAACAAAAGAGTGACATATGAAATAAACACTGAGATCACCATTTATTCTGGACACCCACATTAATTTTGTTTTTTTCTTTAGTTTAGAACAAATAAGAAAATTAGAAAGAATTCATATTGAGAACGAGAATTTCTCAAGAATGCTAGTTTATCTTGTTTTCTGCTGAATCATAATAACGAATAGTAAAACAATATCTAAAATAAAATTCTTGTTTTTTTTTAAGGACGGAATAGATGTTTTGACAAGTCAGATCTTCTAATGTCATTGGAAATCTTATTAAAAATGAGACAATACAAGGGAATTAATATTCCTTTTCGAAATATTACAAAAATTCAATTTGGAACTCATTTTGATCGGATAAGCGGTTAGTGTTGATTTTCTTTTTCTTTTTTTCAGACTTCATATAAACAAACAAAACTTTGTCTTTATTTATAATCAAAACAAACTATCTATACCTTTTTATAATTTCAAATATCATTTAAAGCAATTGTCATGAAATGAAATTTTTCTTTTTTCTCTTAATATGTGTATAATGAGTATATTAATGTGTACTTTATAATCATTAATACTGTGAAGAATTTATGTTATTAGTCATGAAAAAAAAAACGATTTATGTTAAATATTGATTAAGTACTATCTAGTTTAGTAATGAGTATTGAAACTTTGTATTTGAAGCGTGCTCATCATTGAAAAATATCGTTTTGTCTATCAAAGATCTCCATATGTTCGGATACATATATATGTTGGGGGCAAAATTGAGATTCGGTCAAATTTTAAATTTGACCAGACAAAATTGGAATTCCAAGATAGACTAGAAATTTTTTAGACAAAATTGAGATTCCAATTTTGACTGGACAAAACTGGAATCCTAAAATGGCCTAGAATTTTTTCAGGCAGAATTGAGATTCCAATTTTGACCGGACAAAATTAAGATTTTATTAGAGATAAATTCAAACAATCGAAATAATTAAAATTAAAGTATAAGAACTTGTTTTTTTATTAATGTTTATCCTTTTTTCCGTAACACATTAACAAATCAAAATAATTTTTAAGTTCATCGATCGTTGTTTTAAGACCTTCATGAGAAACCGTTTGATGTACTTCACTTATTACATTATAATAGTTTTCATTTAAGAAGAAATATTTTTTTTGATTTTATGCAATCAGCAAGATCAACACCAGCAATGTTAGTTAAAATAAAATGACGTTTTACCCAGTAAATAAATTTTAGTGAAAAACCTGATGGTTTACCCTTAGCTAATAATATACATTTGACAATATCATTATAAATATTTTGTTTTATTACGCTCTTATCTCTAATATTTTGACCTAATAAATTAATATATTTTTCTAATTGTTCATAAAAATGCAATTCACTATTAGTTGTTTCGATGGTTGCTAAATCCGACTGGTACATTTTTTTATTAAATGATACTACGTAAATTTATACTACATCTCGACACAACCTCTAGAAAGACAAATTCTCTTTTTTCTCAATTCCATTTTACTTTTAGTGAAGCACGCGGTTGTTTGAATTTATCTCTAATCAAATCTTAATTTTGTCCGGTCAAAATTGGAATCTCAATTTTGCCCCCAACATATACATGCCATCCGTTATTACTCTGGAGACCATGATCTATATCATGTTTTGCTTCTTTTCTACATTTTTTTCTCTTTAAAAATAGCTTTGAAATCCGTATTTTCATTTTAATATTGCACTTCGCCATTGAATTCAAATAAATACATTGTCAATAAAAAGAAAAAGAAGATTCATATAAAATATTCTAGAAGAGAATTTCATATCAATAAAAGATAACAGTGAAGAATATTGTTTGTTGAGATATCAATGATAAGAATTAAACGAAAAATATCATGAATGACGTCCAATTAAAATATTTTCATGATCAACATGAAAAATATTCTATTCAAAGAACTTCATTGTCTTATATTAAATAGGAAAATAACTAAAAAAATTTATATCTTTTCTTGACTATGACATAATAAACAAAATATCTCAATGAAATCCATTTTATTTGAAATGATTTTTGAACAAGTTGAAATAGTTTCTCTGAGATTTTAAATTCATTTTGAATTTATTCAAATGAAAATAATCAGATATTTGGACTTTATACGATTGATAAGCAAATGACAAAAAATATTTTATAAATATTTAATCACTGTAAAAAAAAAAGCTTCAGATGTTTCTGCATATCATTTTAATAAAAATTAGAATCATTTGGTTTTTTGAGTCTTCATTTTCAAGATATAGAAATTTTACTAAGCTTTGTTTTTCAACGAACAGCTATGATCTCATTTACATTACGCGAATAATTGACTTTCAATTTTAAACTCTGTACAGAAAAAGTTTTCAACAAAAATTAGTTGATTGAACAAGTTCTAGCTTTTCTAGTATTTTTTCTTCTGCAAATATAAATCTATAAAAAAAAAAATTTACTTTTACATATGAGAGATTTTTGAATATTTCATATCTTACAAGGTAAAGCCACCAACTATTCAATCCCTTTTGAGTCGAGATTATGTGTCATATGTAGACTGAGATAGGACATCAATAACCTAACAAGAGTTCGGATGGTTAATTTATCGCTATGGACATACTTCACTTTTACGATGGTCTCTCTCAGGAATATCAGAAAACCTTACTTTCAAATTTCGACTTGAAATTTTGCATATACATAGATCTCAATGAGAATAGTTTATTGTACAAATTTCAGGCCTTTTCATTTGCTTCTGTTCTAAAAATAAGACCATAAAATCTGCTGGTTTATATGAGTTATGCCAAAATACGCGCTACTATCATACTTTTCTCTTAGGATAGGAACAGCGACAAAGGCTGAAACATTCATAACATACAATTGTCATTAAGATCTATGTGTAGATAAAATTTCTAGTCGAAATTTGAAAGTAAAGTTTTCAGATATTTCTGAGGGAGATCACAGTATTTATTTAAAAACAATATTGTAAAAGTGTACTATTTCCATAGCGATAATCTAAAAAGCCCGAACTATTTTTAGGTTATTAATACCATATTTGAGTCTACATAAGGCATATAGTCTCATTCCTCGATGATTCATTTTCGGCTCTAATGT